GCCGCCGGCTTTAGCTGTAATTAATTGGTAGCAATAAAAGGTAATTTTGCAAAATTTTAGGAATTATACTTTTATTAATTTATACTAAGATATTAAATTTACTTAAAGTTATAATCATGTATAAATTAAAAAAATTTTATTATAATAATTTAATTTATTTACGAACAGTATTGTCACCTAATTAAAAGAATTTTACTTAAATTATTTTAATGTATTCTAAATTATTCAACTGTGATTAAATATTTTTAGATAAAAAATGGATTTACGAGGTAATATTTTACAAGTATTTTTTGATAATCCATCAGACAAAGAATATGAGCACTTTCCACCTGAAAGAGAACGTCATATTAAAAATCCACATTATTTTGAAAATGTTGTTTTGACATATACTTTAACCGGAAAGACTTTGAAAGCAAGGATGAAGAGACTTTTGCTGTATTACTTTAATTTTGCGCAGGTAGTTCTGTATTGAGTTAATTGCAGTCAAATAACATTAATATTTTGTTTAAATAGATTTTAAATCACATTTCCGAGTGGAAAAACATACGTATGAAATGTTAGTGCAAACTCTTGAACAACGTTTACATCGCGAGCACAGTCCTGAAAAAATGCCTCCAGGAAAACAAATAGCCATTGCTTTATGGTTCTTTGGTAATCAGGAAGTTTACAGGTTAGTATGTTTTACTTCATATGAAAGATTTTTATTAAAGCATATTTTTTTAGTTATATAAAATAGTTTTGCTTCCTTTAATTTTTATTTTACTTGTCTTTGAGACTTTCTTGAGTTTTTATATATTTTCAAAAAATATATATATATTATTTTACAAAAAATATATAGTTTTTGGAAAGAAATAATTAAATTAATTTTGCATATAATTATCTAGGTTATATTGACTAAGTTTTATAAAAAGTTTTACAACTGTTGTAAAATTTTTTCTTTACTGAAGTTATTAAAAACGCCTTGATTTTTTAAACCAAATTATGTAAAGTTTTGTTCTCTATATTTATATACATATTCGATAAAGATATTTTGGTATTATTGTTATATATTTTTAATAAAGTTCATATGTAATATTATATTGCATTAGCAATATGTTAAAATTATTTAATTTCCTTGACTATACAATTTGTATTTGTGTATATTTACATACACGCATATATGTACACATACACATCCATATATGTAACTTTTTACAGATCAATTGCAGATCGATTTGGAGTATCGAAAGATATTGTTTGGAAGTGTGTATATGAGATTGCAATGCTACTAACTGAAGATGCCTACAGATATATAAAATGGCCTGAACCACATGAAATGGTTTTCATTGAAAGAGAATTTCGTCAATTACATGGTTTTCCTGGAGTAATTGGTGCAATTGATGGTTCCCATATAACAATAAGTGCACCTACAGAAAATCCTGATAATTATATTAATCGTAAAGGGTATCATTCAATTTTATTACAAGGAATTTGTGATCATACATTAAAATTTATTGATGTTTTCACGGGAATGTGTGGGAGCGTTCACGATGCAATAGTATGGCGTTTAAGTGACATTGCAACATTAATAGCACAAGATGAAAATAGATACTTTCAAAATCAGTATCATCTTCTAGCAGATTCAGCATATCCATTATCAAATTATATGTTAACTCCATATCGAGATAACAGTCATTTGAACAATGTACAAAGAAGGTTTAATACAACACTATCAAGAACACGTGTAGTCATCGAGCGTACTTTTGGGATGTTAAAAGGATAGATTTAAAAAATTAAAATATATTTACATGTATACAGAGATGATACCTTTAGTTATTATCACTTGTTGCATCTTACATAATATATGCATAGAAAATGAAGATGCACCTATAGATGACAATAGATTTGACGAAATAGAAATACAAGGTAATGACATTGCATTTATAAATGGAGCAGAAAAAAGAGACATTATCTCTAATTTATTATAAAATTGCTTTTATAAAATGTAATGTCTTTATTATAAATATGTATATTTAAACTTATATATATAAAAACGTATATATATGAATACATACATATACAGGGTGGGGCATTTTAATCGCTTCAGTTAGATATCTTGGAAAATGTGGAAAATACGGTAAAACGTTTCAGACAAAACTTGTATGGATTGGAGGGGAACAAATAATGGTAAACTCAATTTTCGAAAATATCGGGTTTTGAAAATCATGAAGGTTATTATTATCCTCTTAAATGGAATTATGATTTCTTTTACAGAGTCTGATTCCTTTTATTCTATATATAAAAGTATTGAGCATTATCGAAAAATCAATTGTTTAAGAGATATTTTATACTTCATTTTGATATAAAATGTAAAATATCTCGTAAACTATTGATTTTCTGATAACTTTATCTTAATACTTTTGTATACAGAATAATAAGATGAATCAATTGATGTAAAGAAAACACATAAGTGCTTTTCAAAAAAGTTATGAGATATTTTTTCTGGGGCCATTAAAATGCCCCACCCTGTATATATGTATATTATATATTAAACCTTCAACTCTTGTTGCTAAATCTAAGCCATTATATAAAATTAAATCATCTTGAACATGTAATAATTTAATTATAAAAATAGTGTAAAATTACAAAATGATATATTGCGAAACAAAATTGTTAAACATAAAATAATTATAAACTTTTGTATTAAGAGAATTATAATGTATACCTGAATAATGTATTTTTGCAAAATTTGGAAGAAAAAGGAATGTAAGGTTGATAACATAAAAATCAATAACATAGGCCCATATTTATTATATGTAATAAATAAACATTTATTATATGTAATTATGTGTAATATTTTATAATAAAAAAAAATAAATTTACTTTCAAATGTGTCATAACACAACATAACGTACAATTAATAGTAGTATCACATGGCATCATATAACTTCGAGGAGAGGTTGAAGGCGCAAATCCATCGCCCGATGGAATAACATACCAAAACCCCCTCCAGTAGTATCACATATTTTGCACTTTTAAATATAAAGCTTACTTTTTTACTTAATGTAACAAAAAATTGTTTTGTCAATATAGAAAACGTTTATATATACTTCTTATATATACCACTTTATATATACTACTTATGTTAACATGGTTTATTAAGATTTACATCATATACTTGCTTTTCAAATATTATTTCTTGTTTTATCATTCTCCTTTGTCTTGATATCCTTTGCTAATAAAGATAAAAGTCGCTCTCTTTGGGTATAATTTTCTCGATGATACCTTTCTCTTTGCTCTATTAATTCTTCCATACAAACAGATGTTTTCGATTTCTTTTTTCTTATTCGTCTATTCTTTAAAATATTGGTTGATGCTATGTTTAATTTATTTTGTTCGTTTTCACAATGTTCCTCATCAGATGAAGACGAAATATTTTGATTTATTGTAAAACCGTGTATATTTGATGCAACAGACAGTGGTACAATTGCAGGATTTTTTCCCATCATGTCATTAATGACATCAAAATATTCTCAAGTTTGTTTTTCTGTACCAGTTTGATTTATTGCATCTTTAATTGATTTATACTTTTTTTTCATACCGATCCATTTAATATAACAATTGTCAGCAGTTAAGTTATATCCATAAGTATTAATAAATGCTGCAATATTTTTCAATGCATTTTTGTTCAATTTTCCTGGATTCGTAAAAGATTCTGCGTTTTTTTTGCATTTCTGCTAACAATAATTTCGTCATGGCATCGGTCCATTGAACTCTGTAATTAACTAAATTTAGAAATATTACTTACTATTTAAAAAGATAATAATAAACTCATATTGTTTATTAAAAAAGCATAATATACACATACCAACATTATTTGTTTCGTTTATAGATTTATTTGCAGACATTTTCCTCTTAGGTACACCCACGGTAATTGATTCTGTCCCTCGGAAATTTTCACAAAATGAGAAGTAAGCACCTTTCTGTATTAATGTTCACAATCCACGCACGATTGATGACGCAACTAAACTTTACGTCCGCTTACAACGACATTTGACGTAAAGACGAAATAACCTGAATTTTCGGGAG